TAACTCAGGCCAGGCAGGGACGTGGCAGAGGTGACGCTGCTGAAGGGCAGAGCCGTGCCAGGCTCTGTCCCTGTGCCCGAGGTGTGCAGGGCTGGCACGACCCTGCCTGGCTGAGCCCCAGCAGCCTCAGCAGAGCCAGAGCTGCAGGAGAATCTCTGGTCTGGAGTGTAAATCCCCAGGGCTCCTTGTTAGGTTAATGAAGAGGCTGTCTTCTTTTCCACTCTGTTTGATTTGATTGGCTTCTCTGGGGGCAGGAAGGCGATTGCTGTGGAGGAAGGATTTGCTTATCAGCACAAACCTGCCCCGGACCCCCGTGGGGAGCTGGTGCTGGGCTGTGCCAGGCATTGCAGAGCCCCTGCAAGCTCAGAGGGGCACGGCCGGGTGCCACAGGGAGGGACAAAAGGGTGGCACTGGGATGTGCTGAATGTTCAGCCGTGCCTGGCAGGGCTTGGGCACAGAGTGTGGGGATGTGCCAGGGCTGGCCCTGGGTGGCTGCTGGGCACAGGGACGTGTCCACCCCACCAGGGTGTGCTGGGGTCACCCCATTGCCCCCAGATAACGAGAAGAACTCATTACCTTGAGAGCCTGGCGTGGTTTTGTGGTGATGATTATTTAATTGTCTCATCAGCATTTATTGGGGGGGGTCACGCTGGAGTTTTGGGGTGGGCGGGGGGGACGAGGAGCCTGCACAGCCAGACTCGCTCAGGGAACAGTGACAAGACAAAACTTGGTGTATTTTTGGATTGTCTCCACACCACGGGGCTCTGCTTGGGCTATAAATTATTAGTGCCGGTACAAAGCGCAGTTTATCTGCGGGCTCACATGGAGGCACCAATAACATTAATAATTTAAAAAATGTTAATAATTTAGAAATCTTTTTTTTTTTTTAATTGCTTTTTAGCCCCCCCCCCGTCCCCCCCCCTTTCCCCTCTCTCTCTCCTCCGCCCCCGTTCTCCCAGTGGCATTCATCCCACATTCTGAATTCAGTCTGTCTCCGTGCCTGGAACCTCCATCCGCCAGCGTCCCGCTGTCAATCAATGTGATTTCCCAACTGTCAGAGTGCGGGATTGTAAATAACAGATCCTGGGGGGGGTCTGGGCAGCGGGGAGGGGGCAGGGGAGGGGAGGAGGGGCAGGGGTGTGTGCGGGGGTTGTTGCGGTCACTCAGGATCGATGCGGCTCCTGGAGCTGGCTGCACGCCAGCCTTCTAAATTACAGCCGCCGTGGCAATCAGGAGTGACCTGGGTTTTTCAAGATAATTAATTTATAAACATTGCAAGGTTTGCACGGTCTCCCTGGCTCGGAGAATTCTCCAGGCTTTTTTTTTTTTTTCTGTGATCTGATGGTGTTTGGCTGTTCCCGACGTGCTTGTGCAGTTCGGAATTGTCGTTTTTAGTGTTTGTCCCCTGGGCTGGGGGACAGGGGCAGGAACGTGGCCAGAAATTCGGGCGCTGCTGTCCCCAGGAATAGCAGGAATATTCCTGCAGGAATAGCAGCTGTGGGAATGTTCTCACCCCGGCACAGGGCTCCAGCCCTGAGCATCCCCAAAATATTTGATGACTGATGGAGCTCAGGCTGGGCTGGGCACATCTTGGTGCCAGGAGGGGTGGCTGGGATTTCCAGAAGTGAGGGGGAAAAGGAATGCACGGAGATGGGAAGTGTGTGGCATTAGCAGGGATGCTCCTGCAGCGCTGTGGGAAGAGCTGGATGTGCCGCTGGCTGTGAGGGCTCTGCAGGGTCGGTGTTGGAGGTGATGCTGCCCAGGGTGTGCTCAGGGAGGTGAATCTGCCCCTGCTGCTCTCCCCAGCTGTGTTTGGGTTTCCTTTGGCCGGGTGATGCTGTCAGGGAGGTTTCCTCTGCGGGGATGTTTCCTGTGCAGGGCAGCAGAGGCTCTGGGGTGAGATGTGAGCTGTGTGCAGGGGGATTTCACACCTTTACCGGGACTGAGACACTCCAGATGCTAAACTGGGAGAGAGCAGCCCCTGGGGAAGCCCCAGCCTGCCTGGCACAGGTGTCCATGTCACCTGTTGCTCCCTGAGGCCATGGCAGTGGCACCTGGGCTGTAGCTGCATCACCTGTCCCCTCCTCGGGGCTCCTTGGCTTGAGGTGCTCCCGGCCTTACCTGGGCATCCCAGGCTCTGTGAGGGCAGCCTGGTTGCACTGAGCCCTGAAGGGGCTGTGCAGCTGCACAGGTGACACTGCACAGGTGACACAGGTGGCTGTCACAGGTGCCAGGTTGTGCCGCGGTGCCAGGGCGGTGCAGGCTGATCGAGGGGAGCGTTTCCCTCTGACCCTCAGCAGTGTCCAGGCTGTGCTGGGGGCTGGGAGCAGGGTCCCCTCCTGTCCCCATCCTCAGCTGCTCCGGGACCCTGTCCTTGCTGTGCCAGGCAGGTCCGGCCCTGCCGAGCCCCGATAGCCCCGGCGGGGGCGGAGGGGACACGGCCAGAGCGGGGCAGGTGCCAGCGCAGCTCCGCTCGGCACCGACCGGGAGAGGGAGTTTGGGGAATGCCTCCCTGTCCTCCTGCTCCCCTCGTATCCATCCATCCATCCATCCATCCATCCATCCATCCATCCATCCATCCATCCATCCATCCATCCATCCATCCATCCATCCATCCATCCATCCATCCATCCATCCATCCTTCCCTCCTTCCATCCTTTCCCTCCCTTTTTCCCCGCTCCTTCCCTCCCCTCCTTCCCTCCCTCCCTCCGGCAGGAAGGCAATTAAACAGCAAATCCACCCCCCTGCCGTAGTTGCACAATTTCCTCCGCTGCCAAACTCCCAGGGCGGCGGGGGCGGATCGCGCCCGGAGCCGCTCGGGCCGGGTGAGCGCCGGGGCCGCCGCTCCCCGCCGGGCTCCGCCGCCGCCCCGGCGCCCGAGAGCCGCCCCTGGCCGCGGGGTGGCCGCGGGGGTGGCCGGGGGAGGGGGGGACAAAGGAGCCGCTGTCGCCCGGGGGCTGCGGGCACGGCCGGGAGCAGCCCCGGGGCAGCGCTTGTCGCCCGCGGGGAGCTGCGAGCGGCCCCGGAGCGGCGGTGCCTCTGTGTGTGTGTCCCGGTGTGTCTGTCCCGGTGTGTCTGTCTGTCTGTTCAGGGGTCTGTCTTGTCTGTCCGGGTGTATCTGTCTATCTGTCCGCGTGTATCTGTGTGTCTGTCCGGGTGTCCGGCTCTGTCTGCGTGTCCGGGTGTATCTGTTTGTCTGTCCGTGTGTCTGTCCGGGTGTATCTGTGTGTCTGTCTGTCCGTCCAGCTCTGAGGGGTGGCGTGGTCGGTGCGGGGCAGCAGCGGCTCCTCCATCGCTGATGGCTCCGTGCCCTCCGCTGTCCCCAGATCTGCTCCGGGCACGGCAGGAGGTGGCGGCGGCGGCGGCGGCGGCGCGGACCCCGGGCGCGATGGAAGCGCACATCCCCTCGGCCAGCAACTCATCCAGCCAGCGCAGGAAGCAGGGCCTGCCCCAGCACAGGGACAGCCACTTCCCCGACAGGTACCGCACCCTGGGGGCCGGGCTGGGGGCGTGGGAGCGGGGAGAGGCTGGCTCGGTGCTGGGGTGGGCTGCTCAGGGCGCTGGGGGAGTCACCGTCCCGTGGAAGTGTTGGAAAAGTGCGCGGATGTGGCGCCGGGGACCGTGGTTTGGTGGTGACCACGGCACTCGGTGCACTCTGTGATTTTAGAGAGCTTTTCCAACCTTTAGGTTTGTGTAAATTCCATGGGAGAGGGCAGCCGTGCCCGCGGCTGGGCAGAGCTGATTTACCTGGCCAAGGTGTGATCGTCTCCTCTGGGGGCTGTGCAGGTGCTGGGGATGCTCCTGCCGCACCCTGGGGTGTCTCTATGGAAAGGGGGGGAACCTGTGCCTGTGCTGATCTGCTTCCACATCCAGGGGAGCGACTGCCAGGCTGGAACGATCCCAAATCCTGTGTTAGAGATGCCCCTCTCACCTGTTCTTGGGCACAGAGCAGGCTAAGGTGCTTCGGTTCGCATTCCGTGGCATCCCCAGATAACGAGAGAGAAGAAACGCTCTGAGATGGAGCAGAAAGAGAAGAAGTTTTCTTTGTTAAGGAAAAGAGCCAGAGCTTGCCTCTCCCACTGCTAGGAGTGCTGGAAAACTGATATCCCCCCACCCCCAGGAAATTCGAGCTCATTTATCTTGCTCTGTGCCACGAGCCATTCCCTCTGCAATCAAGAACTTCAGAGGGAAATTAAATTAAAGCTGTGTGCGTTGCTGACAGGGATGGAGGGGACAGGAGGGGGATGCAAAGCCTTTGGATGAGCAGTGGAAAGCTCTGGTATTTACACTTCCCTTGGCTTTTTCAGGCTGGGGGCAGAGCAGCTCTGTAGTGGGTGTGGATGTGCTGAGTCCAGAGTTTTTCCCCCATTTAGAGCCTTGAGATCCCGTCTGGTTTTCCTGCTCTCCCGGTGCACTGTGGAGGGGCCGGGCAGCCCTGCAAGCCTCTCTCCCACAGCGTGTACTTTGGCTAACCCAGCCCATAAATCCCGGCCCTGAGCAGACCTGGGAGGAATTCAGGGATGGAGGAGCCTCAGGAGCGGTTCCCCAGCTCTGTGTGGGCTGGAGAGGAGCCAGGCCGGCCCCAGGGCTGCTGGAAAAGCATCCACGGAAGGGAGGAGCTGCTCATGGGGAGGTGCTGCTGCCAGGAGGGGCAGGCTGAGAACGGGCAGATCCAGATCAGCCCCGGATCCGTGTTCGTTTGTCACTGTGCTGGGGCCACGGAGCTGGGCTAGCCCAGGAAATGTTCCATGGTTTGGGAAGAGGAGAGGGAAGATGCTGGACAGGGGCTGAAGGCCAAGAGGTGGCTCTTGGATCAAACCACTGCTTTTCCTCCTGGAAACTCCTTTGGGGAACTGGGTCAGTTCTCCATAGAGCCCCACAAATCATTGGATTGGCAGGAGAGGGGAATCCTGGTGAGGGAGGAGCACACAGGGACACAAACTGTCCGTGATGCTGAGAGAAATCCCTGTGGGACCTTGGCACAGGTGTGAGGAGCCCCCACACCTGTGGGGTGTGTGAGTGTCTGAGTTTCCCGTGCTGGAGGGGACAGTGGCTCTCGTTTTGAGGAGGTTGTGTTTGGAGGTTCAGCTGCAAGAGCAGCAGAATCGGGGTGTGTTGTTGGAATGAGCTGATCTTTAAAGTCCTGTCCAACCCAAACCAGTTCTGGGATCAGCTCACAGGGCTGTTATTTCTCCCCAGAGGTCTGCAGCCCCCTGAGCACCCCTGAGGGTCAGCGTGAGTCCCTCTGCTCCCTGTCAGAAGTGACTTGGCTGGAGCTGTGCCAGCTGTTCCTCCAGGTGTTTTTGGGGATGCCAGGAGGAGCTGTGGCCGTGTGTTGCAGAGCAGTGAAGTTTTGTGGGTGGTAATTCCTCCCTTGCATTCCCTGTTAGCCTTGGCTTTGTGCTTGGGGTAAATCAGAGCAGCCTCGTGCACCTTTATCCTGGAGGAACAGAAATTCCCAAAGGTCCAGCTGGGCACTGGCAGGGGAGGAGGCAGTGGAGGGATCTGCCCCACATCCCCAGGAACACGCAGGTGAATTTCTGGTGTCTCCTTTCCCAGGAGCAGGGGGGTGAGAAGTGCTTGGCCCGCTGTTCAAATTCCATTTCAGCTTCCTCTGTGCAGCTCAGGTCGGCTCGGAGCTTTGTGAGCAGGAATAATCAGTGACTTCAAGCCCTTCTGGCAAAGCAAGAGGGGAGAACCCCCAGTGGTGACCCAATTTTATTTGTCAGGGCAGTGCTGGTGTTTGTGCAAAGGCAGCAATGCAGAGAAGGTGCCTGGCAATGGGAGCTGTGCCTGAAATTCTCCAGCTCCCAGGTGCGAAGGGGCTGAGCTGGGGGACACTTGGGAAAGGTGGGTGTGCTCATTTGTCATTAATTAATGAATTATTAATTAATATCTTTGGTGGTCAGAAACAGGCCGGGAGGTTTGGCTTTGTGGGGGATGAGACACACAAACACACAGATAGGGATTTTTTTGGGCCGAGGTCCTGGTCCCTCCATCTCTGCTCCCTGCTGCATCTCTTGGAAGGAGTCAGGGAAACTGAGGCATCTTGCCAAAAGCAAACTCAATCCACAGCCTGGAGAATTCATTGGGTTCCATGGTTTTGGTTTCCTGGCTCCTTTGGAGATGGATTCAGCTGGGATGCAGGAGTGCCAGGGTGCTCTGTTTGGGAAGAGGGTTCAGTGTTATAAAAAGACTTGGAACGGGAGAGGAGACAACTGAAAAGGTGCCACTGTAACCACTCCAGCCTGGAGCTCTTCCCATCCCCAAACTGCTGCCTCTCCTGCAGAGCTGGCAGGTGGCTGTACCCTGCAGAGCTGCTTGGATCCTGCTCCTTGCCTGCTGTCTCCAGCATTTGTTGGCTGTGTTCTCCTGGGGTCTTTCAGCCTGGTGTGTTCTTCCCCCGAGGTGCTCATCCCTGCTTCTCTCTGCGTGGAGCCTGGGGAAGATTTCCTCTTGAGGAAAACCTTTCACTCAGGAGGGGCTGGAGAGGGGCTGGGGCAGGGCTGGGGGAGCTCAGAGGGGTGAAGCTCCTTGGCTGGGATTGATCCTTGGCTGGGATTGATGCATCAGTTCTGTGCTGGGAGTTTGGGCTTGGTTTTTGTGCTTGCAGTGTGAGGTGTGGGGTCTGGAGGAGGCAGAGCTGGGACAGGTGTTGAGACAGGTGAGGTACGAGCACTCAGGGGCTCTGTGCAGCCTGAACAGGGGCAGAGGGAGCACAGCTCATCCCAGCACCCTGAACAGGGCACAGAACAGGGGCACAGCTCATCCCCAGCACCCTGAACAGGGGCACAGAACAGGGGCACAGCTCATCCCCAGCACCCTGAACAGGGCACAGCTCATCCCCAGCACCCTGAACAGGGCACAGCTCATCCCCAGCACCCAGGGGAGGCAGCAGGAGTGCCAAGGAACACGGGCTGGTGCCAGCCTGAGGTGCCAGCACACCCCATGCCAGGTCCTGGGGAGCCCAGCCCCTTGGCAGGAGTGAGCTGGGGGTGGGAGCCTGAGAGAGGCACCCACTGCTCCCTCCCCTGCAGGAGCTGACAGACACCAGGCACCAGCCAGAGGCTTCCTCTGAGCAGAGCTGTGCCCAAAATACCCATCCTGGATTTTTGGATTCCCTCCTTCCCATCTGCTGTTGCTACGGTTTGTTCTTCCACCGCCTCGTTCCTCCTCCCTGCTTTGGGGAGGTTTTCCTTTTCCCTGCTGGCTCCTTGGGCACAGCTCCTTCCATCCCTGGGCACAGCTCCTGCCCTTTTTGGGCACACCTCCTGCCCTCCCTGGGCTCATGTCTCTCCTGCTCTTACCCACCCCAGCCCTGTGTCCCCCTCTCCTCTCTGAAAGCTCGGATTTTCTGATTTTTTTTTGCCCTGCCAGGATCCCTCCCTGGTTCCCATCTGGCTGAATGTTGTGCAGAGCAAAGGCCAGAGAGCCTGACCTGATGGAACCAGTTTGGATTTCGGGGAGGGGGCAGCACCAGCCAGCCCCTCCCTCTCTGCTGCCTTGCGAGGGCAGTGCCCTGTTCTTTTCCTGCCTGCAAATCCCACACAGCATTTTCAGCGAGGCCTTTGATTTTATTTATTCTCCCTTGCTGGCAGTGTCTGGGGATGGCAGAGCTCTGTGCCTCCTGCCTGTTACCTCGGGTTTAAAGTGTCTCTTCCTATCAAATGCAGAGCAGGAGAGAGCAGAGCTTTCATGCATTCCTTCCTCCTCCCCCCGCTCCCCTTCTCCCTCTTCTTCCATCCGTTCTAAATTTATTTCCATGCCTTGCCGGTTTCAATCTGCATTTCCTGACCCTCTCACATCTCCAGTCACAGCCTGTGCTCCCGGCCTTCCCCCAGAGCCTGGGCTGAGCCAGGGGGGAGCTCTGCTCTGGCCTTGGGAGGGTACGATGGGGTTAAAGTGAAAGGCTTGGTTTTAACAGTATAATGTGTAACCCCATAATGACTTTAAATATTGATTATTTGAAGGCCATTAGTGCTTATTGTTAAAGAAAAGTCGATACTTTTTAAGCCTTGTGAACCATTTGTCTCCTGTTAAAGGACATATCAAATTTAGCAGCGTGCAGTGCAAATCCCCTAATACCCTGGCTCACAAGCCTCCAGCTGGCATTTTTAGGGGGGGGAAAAAGGAAAAAAAAAAAAGGGGCAGGGGGAGGAAATGTGCAGCAACACAGAATTGCTCTCTGCAAGGTAAGGACAAGGCTTTATCAGATGTAATTGCCAGGGGCTAAATTCACCTCCTCAGAGCAGGGCGCTGTAATTCTGACTCTGAGCCCTGGAGGAAGAGGAGGGAGGAATTCGGAATTTAATGGGGGATTCGAGGCTGGCAGGAGCCTGGGAGAGGATGCAGGGATCAGCGTTGGGTGCTCACCTGTCTGCAAGCACAGCAGCCTTTGTTAAAGTCGGGGTTTGTTTGTTTTTTTGTTTTTTTGTTTTTTTTTTTACTCTGGGGTTGCCAATTCTTTTCCCAATTGGGATTCCCAATTCTTTCCCCTGGCTGGGAAGTCTGGGAGGGCTGCCCAGCCCCGTGCCAGGGCACGACCTGGTGCTGCTGCCTCTCTCCCGTGCCAGCTCCCCGTGCCAAGGATGGGCTGGATGGGCTGGCAGGGAGCAGGGCGAGCTCCCCAGCACGTTCTGTGCCCGGCAGGTTGGCTCTGTGGGGTGGCACAGAGGGTCTGTCCCTCGTGGGGGCTCCCCAAGGCTCTGGAGCAGCATCAGGGAGGAAAATCCCCTCTTGCCCAAATACTCCTGAGCATCCCTGCCTGCCCGGTGGCACTGACCCCCCTGTGTTCTGCCACCTGCAGCCTTTTTTTGGGGGGTTGTTTTGGCCATCTGGCGTGCCTGCTGTGACCCCAGGGGTGTGACAGTGCCAGCTGAGGGACCTTGGGCTGCTCCTGTCCCCACCAGCAGCCCCGTGTGGGTGTTTGGGGGAGCCCCGGGGGTCTGTGTGTCCCTGCTGTGCCAGGCAGGCGTGGTGACAGCGTGTGCCAGAGCGTGTCCCTGGGTTTATAAACCCTGGGGGGCTCATCCATCCCCAGGGTTTGTTGGAGGGTGTGGGACTGTCCAGCCCCTCTTCCAGCCACCTCCCGTGGCTGCTGTGCTCGTGGGATGGGGCCCAGGAGTGATGGTTTTGTCCCTTTGCCCAGGCAGGCACCCAGAGCAGGCTCGGGAAGGCAGGGAAGCTCTGAGGGGATGAGCTGCAGAGTCTGGAGCAGATGTGAATTCCTCGGGGATCAAAGTCATGCCCCGTAGCACAACATGAAAGCACAAAAACAAACCTGGGCTGAAGCTTTCATTTCCAGCCCCGGTGCCCATCCCACACTCGGCTCCCTGGCATCCATCAAGGCTCTCCTTTATTTTTGGGCTCTCCCGGTGCTCCTGCCTGTAGGAATCTCTGCTTTGGGACGGTCGGGACAAACTCAGGCGCTCTCTTTATTCTTGTTTTAAAGTTTTGCAGTTTATTTCCTAGGGTGTGGGTTTATATCAGGCCCTGCTGGGAGCTGCAGCCACAGCTCAGAGCAGGGCAGAGAGAGGGAGAGAGCGAGAGTAAAAGAAGAAAGTAAGAACGAAGAGAGCAAGAGCATAAGAGAGCGATTTTCCCCTTTACAATACAATAAATCTTCTATGTTGAATATTCTAATTTCCACTAACCGATCTAATACAAGATACAAATTCTCTAACATTTGCATGCAAACTCTAGGAATCACTATATGACCATGTTTTACTGCTTTTCTAATCTCTAAATTTTATCTGGGACCCTTCCTGCCATGCCTAGGGAGGATGTCTGTTTGTTTTTTGGTATTTGCAGCATTTAACATTATCTAAACAAAGGGGCCTTCAGGCATTCAGTTGCTTTCGGCCACACAGTCAAAAATTGCTCTCATTTCTATTTCGCTTCTATTTTCCATATTCTCCAAGTCTTTTGCTGGGCACTCGTATTGATGAGGTTTCCCCGATTCATCCTTCGCGGACACCTGCCGAATCCCCTTCCCCGCGCTTAAAGCACCGCCTCGATTTCCTAAATCGCTCCTCGTTAAAGCGAGCAGCACGTCTGCCGGGCTCGTCTCGCCGTGATTACGGCTAATTACGATCGAGCGGACACCTCGGAGCCCCCGTCACGCCGCTTTAATTGCGCGTTATTCATCCGCGGGGCTGGCCCGGGTGGCAGCAGCGCTTGGCAGCCCCCGGGCCCGGCTAATTGCGAGCCCTCGGGGATTAGGGCAGGTGATTACACACTTGACGCTGTAATTACATCAGCATCGCTTGGCTGCTGCCCCGGCTCCGAGCCGAAGGTCGAGCGCGGCGTTACCTGAGATTAATTGGAGCTGCCAGCGGCGCACGGGCGGCATTAACATTGCAAGAGCCCCCATCGATCCCCGGCGCCTCCAGACACCGCAATTAGGTTAGAGGAGAGCCAGGGCAGCCGGGGAGGAGGGGAAGGAGAGCCGGGAGGCGGCCACGGGCACCGCAGACAGCCGGGGAAGGGGAGGCGGGCACGGGCAGATGGGCACGGCACCGGGAGAGGAGGAATTTTGGGGAGGGGAAGAGCAGCCGGGTCGGTGTTTTGGAGTGGTTGCACAGAACGGGGATAAAGCTGTGCTGGGAAGGGCTGTCCTTGCCCACTTCATGCCCAGGAGTTCTTGTCTGGCTTTCCTTGAGGTGATCCAGGAGCTGATTATGCCCAGGAGCAGATCCATGAGCAAATCCATGGCCAGGAACAGATCCATTTCCCTGAGCTGATCCATTTCCATGAACAGATCCACTTCCAGGAGCTCCATTTCCCTGAGCAGATCCATTTCCATGAACAGATCCATTTCCAGGAGCTCCATTTCCCTGAGCAGATCCATTTCCATGAACAGATCCATTTCCAGGAGCTCCATTTCCATGAACAGATCCATTTCCATGAGCAGATCCATGCATGGCTGGGATGCTCCCGTTTTTATTCCCCCACCACTGCAATGCCTCTGCACGTGCTGTGCTTGTTGCAAACTCACAGGCACCTTCTGCCTCCCTCTCCCTTGCCCTGCAGCCTCTCCCAGAGCAGATTTTTCCAGGGAGATACTGTAAAATGAAAATAAACGGCCCCGCACTTGGCTGTGCCTCTGGATGCCCTGCTGAAGGTAATAATGTTGTAAGTGGCCATCAAAAGGAATTAAGAGACGTGCAGCCGGAAAGCAGATTTGCTTGCAGGCTCCCAGGGCAGATTTGACTAATGGAAGAGACCTTGGCTCTTATTCCCTTCCTGCTTTTCTTTTTTTTTCCCCCCCCCTGCCTTCCCTCCTGCTGCAAGTGCTCCCTGCCTCTTTTCCAGACGTTGTCCCCTCCCCACCACCCAGTCCTGCCTCTCTCAGTTCCCCCAGGCCCTGGCATCTGCTCTATTCATTCTTCCTGGCTTCACCCACCCCTTCTCCAGCAGGATTCCTTCCCGCTGATCCCATTGCCCTTCCAGCTCACATCCCTCTCCTGGCTGTGTTTTCCTCTGCCTCACTTCCAGCTTTCCTCTCCAGAATTAAAGATCATCCCTTAGCCCAGCTAGGACAGGGTTTTTTTTTCACAAGGCAAGCCAGTGATGCTTTCAGGTGTTCCCAAACCCACTCTGCAGCTCCTCCAAACACTGAATTCCTTCTCAGGTGTGAGGCAGTCGAGGCAGAAACCCAAATGTGGTAAGAGAGGGGTGGATGGAGCATCTTCAGCCCTCCCCTTTAACCTGGGCAGGGCAAATCCCCTTGGACAGCCTGGCTGAAAGGCCACAGAAACAAAGGTGGGAAACGTGTGGGACCTGTGGAGTCCTGGCTGCTTTGTTCCCCTTCTGGTCCTGCTGCTTTTCATTTTTCTCTCCATTTTAGAAGCTCTGCATGAGGGTGAAGAGGCAGAGAGCAGCCTCTGGGGCAGGATGCAGCTCATCTGCAGCCAAGATGTTCTTCCTGAGCCAGGGCCCCTTGGAGCCTCCAGGTTTTCAACAAGGCTTTATTTTCTGATTCCTGCAGGGAGATCTCCCACCCACCACCTCTGCTGTCCCCCCAGAACGCTCCTCACATCGCCCTGGGGCCCCACTTGAGACCTCCCTTCCTCGGGGTGCCTTCAGCTCTGTGCCAGACACCAGGTGAGTGCTCAGGTGACGCTCCTGGGCAGCCAGGGCAGGGCAGAGGTGCAGCCTGTGGCAATGTGCCCAGCAGCCCACACACCTTTTCTGTGTCTCCCCACGACTGCTGTGCCACCCCCACCCTGCTTCTGCAGCGATGGGAGCAGATTCCTCCTTGGCTGCTCTCCCTGTTCATCCCCAGCTGTGTCTCCCGGCCCTGTGGCACTGAGGGGTAGCTGGGTCTGGAGCACCCAGGAGTGCCCAGGTGCCCTTTTTCCCCCTGGGGAGCTGGCCCTGGGGCAGTGGGGAGATGAGTAACCCCCAGTGTTGTCCCTGCCCCAGGTTACGGGTTCCTGCAGCCAGCACAGGCAGAGATGTTTGCACGGCAGCAGGAGATGCTACGGAAACAGAACCTGGCCAGGTAAGAGTGAAAAGGGAAGGGCTGGGTTTGAGCTGGTGTGGGGTGAACTGAGGAAGCTTTGGTAAAGCCTGTGCTTTCCCAAGGGCTGGCCTGGGGACTGGGCTTCTCCAGGAACAAACAAAGGCACCTGCTGGAGTTTAGAGTGTGTATTTTGAGAGTTCTGTTGTTGATAATGAAAACATCTGTACAAGAGGTGTTGCTCTGAGCAGTGAGCAGCGTTCTGTTCTTGGTTTGGAGAGTGAGTGTCCTTAGGGAAGGCAGTGTTAAAGTGTCCCTTTCCTGCCTAGAGAGGAGACAGTGCTGCTGTGTTTTATTACAGCGTTCCAAGGGTTAATCCTTAATTAACAGCAGCACAGCCGTGTCTGAGTGAGGGCTGTGGAAAGGCTGTGCAGGTGTGGGGCACGGCCCAGGAAGGAGTAGGATGAGTTCCTCTCTCCTAGATATTTTGGGCTGTGCCTGTTCTCTCCAGCCACACAAACACACAGCACAGCACATGGAGAAATCTCCAGACCTGATCTCCTGCTCAGATTTGGGGTCAGCTCAGCAGGACACAAGCTGGGAGATGCAGAGCTCTGTGAGAAATCAGGCCCTAAAACATGAAGGTCAAAGCATTCACACATCCCAAAGCAGGCAGGATCTGGTCTTGGTGCTCAGCACGGCTGCTGGCAGCTCATTCACACATTTTTTGGAGCCCAGGGGGGACAAGCTGAGGCCTGCAAACCCAGGGTGCTGCTCTGTTATGGCACTGGGCAACTTCACTCCAAAAAGCTTCACAAAATAATCGAGCACCAAATGCCACCAGAGTAAGAGGAGTTGGTCTTTGGTAACGCAGGAAAGGATTGAGGTTTGTTGTGGGGGCAGCTCTGTCTGAGTGAGAGCTGCAGGAAGGTTGTGCAGGTGTGGAGCACGACCCTCCAGACCCCGCACCAAAACCCCCTCTCCCAAGTGACACGTGGAAAAGACTCTATAACTCATGAGAAATAAGAGTTATAAAGCAGAATGCATTTATTTAGCGCTGAGGGGCACGGGGATAATTCTTCCCAAAGTATGCACATCGAAACTTCAAACCACTGCTCTGTTTATTCCCTAAAAGTTTAGGATTGCACAATACTCCTCATACATATTCATGTACCAACCCCGCCTAGTTTTGCTTACCTTCGTTCCGTATTCAAATGAGCCAAAAGTCCTTTTGTGTTTGCGTTTCCCCAGTTCAGGGGTCCTTGGGGGTCTCTGATGAAGGCTTCCAACCTCTTCATCGCACTTGAACTTTTCAACTTCGTCTCTTGAGCACGAGTTTCTTTGGGCACGTCTTAGACCTTGAGATGAGTTCTTGTTGGCTTAGGCTTTTGGATTTATCACTTAGCACAGGTAGCAAAAACGCCAGCCATTCCTGATGAACTATTTCTTACCTTTCAATTCTCTGTCTCCCGAATCCCCCCCTCCCCAAAAAAAAAACCAACAAACCCACCCTCCGTTACAGGCTGGAGATGTCGGCCGAGCTGATCCGCCAGAAGGAGCTGGAGAACCTGCACCGGCAGCGGCTTCTGGCTGCTGGGGACCCTCTGAGCCTGCACCCGGGGCTGCCCCCGGACCACCCCGCTCTGCGCAGCGTCCACGATGTCCCCGAGGGCCACGCGCTGCGCGACGAGCTGTCCCGCCGCAACGCCATGCTGGTGCTGCGACACAACAACGCCCCGCTGCTGTCCCTCACCCCCGCCGGTGGCCCCGGCGCCGCCACCCCGCCCAAGGAGCAGCCACGGAGGGCCGGAGGTGGCCGCAAATCCTCGCAGCCCCGCGCGGAGCCGCAGGGAGAGGCCAGGGAGGCGGCGGAGGCGCGGGCCAGGGATGGAGGGCAGGACTGTAACGACGAGGAGATGAAGGACTCGGAGAGCGACGCCGAGGACAAAGCCGAGGGGGTGAAGGGAGAGGCAGCGGAGCTCAAGGAGTGCAAGGAGGGCGCGGGCAAGGCGGGCGAGGTGGCCAAGGAGCTGGGCGAGGTGGCCGCGACCCCCAGCGTGCCCTGCAGCTCCTCGAGCGCCGAGTCCCCCAGCCACCTGCTCAGCAAGGCCGAGGTGAAATATCTGCCCCCAGCCTCCCTGCCCGCGCCACAGCCGCTGCCCTTCGGCTTCCCCTACACCATGAGCCCCTACTTCCATGCAGGTGAGCACCGGGGGGCTCTGGGGGTGCTGGGCTGGGGCACGGATGGGTTTGGAGGTGCTGGAAGAGGACTCGTTGCACACTGTGCTTGTAGTTGCTCTGTCGGCTTCTCTTCCTTGTTTCCAAAGGAGTTTCCCCGTGGAAAGGCCGTAAGGCACTGGGAGGGCTGCCCAGGGAGGTGGCAGTGCCACCATCCCTGCAGGTGTCCCAAGGAAGGATGGATGTGGCACCGTGGTGCTCTGGGCTGGGGGACAAGGTCAAAGGTTGGACTCGGTGACCTTGGAGAGCTTTTCCAGCCTGGTTCCACATGCCCCTGGGCTCTGTGCCTGGCCTGGGGGACAATTCTCAGTGTCACAGGCACTGCACGGGCTGGGCTGCATGGGACAGGCACTGCCAGCTCCTTTCTCACTGGGAGAACTGGGCTGGATGGGACAGGTCATTTCTCACTGGGAGAACTGGGCTGGGTGGGACAGGTCATTTCTCACTGGGAGAACTGGGCTGGGTGGGACAGGTCATTTCTCACTGGGAGAACTGGGCTGGATGGGACTGGTCATTTCTCACTGGGAGAACTGGGTTAGATGGGACTGGTCATTTCTCACTGGGAGAACTGGGTTAGATGGGACAGGCACTGCCCCAGCTCGTTTCTCACTGCAGGAGCAGGGGGTACCAATGGCACAAATGGAGCCTCAAAGCCAGGGAGCCCCACCAGCCCAGCCAAGAACCCAAATCTGCCCCTGCTAATTACCTGGCAGAGCAATTAGCAGCAGGCACACGAGGAGGGAGAAGGAGGGGCTGTGCTGTGCTGTTCTCCACACGAGGAGCTGCCTGTGAGCTCGGCTGCCCATCCCTCATTAGAGCTGCCTCCCAGCCAGGCAGGAGGAAGCGATTTTTCAGTGACAGGCAGGTGGCCAGCATGATAAATATTCCTGCTGCCTCGGGCTGCGAGGCTTCCTCGCAGGAGCCTTTTCCTCCTGGCCATTAAGAGAGGGCTGGGCTCGGCTCCGTGGTGCTGTGGCTTGTGAGAGGCTCTGCAGGGAGGCCTGGGCTGGGGCTGCCTCCCCTCCCTCTCCCTCCTTCCCCAGCAGTGTGTGAGTCGCTGTAATAGCCCATTTATTATTATCACTTTGGATTTATATCACCAGCACATCTCGAGGCCCCGGCACAGCTCCAGGCTGGGTTTCCCTGCTCGCCTCTCCTGGTTTGTGCAGCCTGTGCCAGGGCTGGAGCTTTTTTTCCCTCGGGGCTCTTTGGGTCCTGGCTGCTTTCACACCGTGCTGGGGCTGCTCTCCCTGTGGGTTTGGGTCCTGCTCTGCTGCTCCAGAGCAAATCCTCCCACCTGGAAACCTTGGGAGGATGAGGAGTGGTGTAGGATGCAGCAGCAGGGGTTGAGGTGGGAGTTCAGCAGCTGAAATATTGAGGTTGTATCGATCCGAGGGCTGCAGGCAGGGACTGAAAACTCCTCTGTGGCTCTGGGGGAACACAAAACACTCGAGGGCAGGCAGGCAGAGCTGCACCCACCTCTCCCCTGTGCCAGACAATTCCTGCACCCTCTTTTTGCTGTTTTGGGGGCTGGAGCTGTTTTTGGGGGCAGGAGCTGCTCAGTCCCTGCCCGAGTTATCGATGCCAGGCTGGGTCGATTCCCTGAGCTGCCTTCAGGGCTGTGGCTCGATGACCTCATCTCCTCAAGGTTTCAGCAGCCTCCTCCTCCTCCTCCTCCTCCTCCCACCGCCCTCCCGCAGCCCCGTCCTTCGGAAAAGGTGAAGGATGGAGTGTGCAGGAGGCTAAAATCCTTCTATTGATTGTAGTCTGGAGAGCAATTAACGGCAGCCTTGTGCTGCTCCTGACCCAGCCCTTGCCGGGGGGGACGGGAGGGGTGCAGGGGAATGGGGAAGGGGCTGGGATGGGGATGAGGAAGGGGCTGGGATGGGGATGAGGAAGGGGCTGGGATGGGGATGGGGAAGGGGGAAGGTGCTGGCAGTAAAACCGATGGAACCCAGAGGTGTTTGGCTGCCAGGGGGTGGCATTGTGTCCCCAGCTGGCACCTGAGCTGTCCCCTGGGTGCCAGGAGCACAGACTGTGCCGTGCCCGTGCTGCAGAGCCGCTTCTGCCTTCCCTGCCTCTATCCTTCCTTCCCTGGCCACCAGGGCCGCAGCTCTGCTCGCCACGGCCCCTCCAACCTCTGGCTTCTCCTGCTGGAGCAGCTGGATCTGAGGAGGAGGAGGAGGAGGGAGGGAGGGATTACAGATGGGTGGTGGTGGCTGGGCTGTGCTGGGGACACCTGTCCTGGCACGATGGATTCCTCTCAGCCGGGCCCCAGCTGCTGGAGCGCTCCCTAATCCATTTGCAGCCCCTGGACCATCATTTATCACGGGCCAGACAGAGCCGGCCTGGCAGGGAATGGCTGCTGCCCTTTGTGGCTGCTCGCAGCCGCTGACAGGTCATTATTGCGATGGAAGGTGCGGCCCCTGCAGCCGCTTGGCACCGATTTGTTCTCATTGTCCGGGCTGCCACACACGGGAGGGGCTCCAGGGAGCTCAGAACTCGGGATGCTCCGTGGGGAAGGGACCCTGAGCAGCTCCAGAAATCCTTGAAATCCTTGCCAGGATCGTTGCTGAGTGCTGGCAGGGCTGGAGTTTGGAGCAGAGGGACCGGGGGGACACCTGGGCACCAACCCTGACTGAAGGTTGGACCTGGGAAAGGGCTGGGGAGTGCCCTGAGGGGTCTGGGCTGGAACAAAGCGCTGGCAAGGAGGGTCCCAAAGATGAGAGGAGAGAGGAGCAGCCCTGTCCCTGCTCCAGGGGGACGGGCAGGGCTGGCAGAGGCAGCAGAACCCCAGGACGGGTCAGGCTGGAGGGACACTGGAGCTCCTCTGCTCCAAACCTTCCCGAATCTCCTGAGAGCCTCCTGTGGATTTTGGAGAGCTCCAGCCAAGACATCCCAGCTCTGGGGCTGCCACTGCTGTGTTTGTGTGGCTGTGACACAAACCCAGCCCAGCCCGAGCTCTGGAGCTGCTCCCGTGGGTGTTCTCTGTCCGGGAGCAATCCCAGCCCTGCGAGCTCTGGGGATGGGGGAGAGCAGCCAAACTCAGAGGCTGCAGCTGCAGGGACAGCGAGGGGACCAGGAAATGGGGAAGGGAAATGTGTGGAAATGATTGCAGAGCCTCTCCCTGCTCCCTGTGCAGGCTGTGCTGCTTTAAAGCATCTCCTCGGCACGATGACTTCCTGTGCACATCCCGAGCTTTTCCTGCTTCCCTGGATGTGCTGGAGGCTTTGGGGGGGCCCTGCTGTGTGTTCTGCTCCTTTCCCTGCCTGCTCCCTCAGCCCTGGGCTTATTCCCCAGGGAATTGGCTGCTCCTGGGCCTCCCAGCCTGTGCTCTCCACCGTGGTTTTGTTTTATCCATTTTTCCTTTGCCCATTCCATGTGGAAGTGCTGTCCCAGCTGCTCTGGGCAGGAGCAAGGGTTTTGTCCATCAAATCCACCAGGGAAAAGCCCCAAGCCCACAGGACAGATAATTTTGTCATGACAGGCTTCTGGGAGAAATATTTTTCTCCATGCCCTGAGCAGAGAAGCTCATACCCCTCATAAATTCCCTGACTGAGAATCCTGGATGTTCTCCTCCCTGTAAATGTCCCTGTGCTCTCCTGGTCCAGAGCAGCGAGTTCCAAGGGTTAATATTGCCTTTCCCCCACCCTCCAGAGGAGCTGTGTGGAATTTGGTTTGTTCTGGGTCCTCCCTTTTCCCCCCACAGCAGCTCTGAGTTACCTGAGCTGTTCCTGTCTCCATTTCCATTCCCTGCACCTCTCCCTCTCCTCCCTGGGATTTCTTGGAGTTTGTGTCAGGCTCTGCTGCTCCCAGCCCTCATCACCCCCCATGCGACAGAGCTGGCACGGATTTGTGTGCCCAAACCCTGGTGTGACAGAGCTGGCACGGATTTCTGTGTCCCCAACCCCTTCTGTGACAGAGCTGGCACAGATTTCTGTGTCCCCAACCCCTTCTGTGACAGAGCTGGCACAGATTTCTGTGTCCCCAGCCCCTGTCACCCCCCTGTGCCAAGGCTGGCACAGATTTTGGGGTCTGACAGCGCTCAGGGCTGGCAGGGACAACATCTCCTGTCACCAGCCAGGGCAGAGGCAGCCCCAAACATCTGGGGCTGGGCAGGGTGGAGAAGGAAAGGAACCCTTGGAAGGAGCAGCAGCTCCCCAGAGGTTCCCGTTGTCATTCCCAGCACGTTGCAGGAGCGGGGCTGGACAGGAGCCCACGAGGCAGAATTTTGGAGTTTTGTGGTGCGAGTGCAGAAACTGCTGCAGGCTCTGCTCCCCTCCCCTGCTTCCCCTGCAGCTGAAGAACATTAAACACATGAAATGCATTAGCTGGGATTATTCCTTCCCCCTCCCCCAGGCCGGGACCTCCAGGAGGAAGAGGCCTGTGAATTGACCCTGCCCAGCGCTTTAATTGACAGGTCATTAAAGATGAATGTGCGGCTAGAGAAAAAAAATATATTCAGATTGCAGGCTGGTTGTTGTCCGTGTGGGATTTTAATGATTTATGTTCCTTTCTCCTCCCCTCCTTCCCCTCCAAACAATCCAGGCACCATGGGAGGTCTGTTCCTGGATGGGGAGGAGAGCCCAGCGCTGGAAGACATCAGCAAATGGACAGTGGAGGATGTCTGCAGCTTCGTGTCCAACTTGTCTGGCTGCACTGAGTACACTCAGGTAAATCCCTGCAGCCCCAGGGTGTCCTGGCTGGAAAAATCCCAATTTCTTGGGAGCCCTCCCATCCTCATCCTCATCCTCATCGTCCCAGCTCCTCCTGGAGCTGCATCCCAGATTCCTGCAGAGCCTTCCTGGGCTTTTTCCTCGTGGATTGATGGAATTGCTGCCAGCCAAGGGATGAGAAATGAGGAGGGAGTTCAGCAGGAGAGGATGGGATTAGGGGCAGGGTTAGGACTGAGCCTGAGCTCAGGTAGAACAGGATTTTGGAAAAGCAGCCAGCTGTGCCTGGAGAGGGGAACAGGGACAGGAATGTTTGTAATGGGGATGGGACACTGGGAGCCTTCCCCAGGGACAGGGACAGGAATTTGGGATGTGCTTGGGAGGGTCAGGTTCTGATTGTGGTGAGAGGGAGGAAGAGGAGTCTGTGTAGAAGGAGATGGATGGTGGATGTTTGTGGGATGTCTCTGTGTGTGGAGGTGATTTCAGGAGCTGGGTTTAGTGAGGATGAGGATGGTCCAGGACTGTGATGTGCGAGCTGATGAGAGCTCAGGGAAAAAAAAGGCTCTAAACCCCAAATCCCAGCTCCTGCCATTCCCAGTTACCCTCACACTGGGGAATGGCCACTGCAATTGAAACGTGCAGGAATCTTCAGCACAAACCCCCTGGCAGCAGCAGCTCCCACTCCCACCTTCCTTCCACAGCATCCCAGTGCTCCAGTGGGGCAGGACCCAGCAGTGGGGCAGGACCCAGCAGTGGGGCTGAGTTTCTCCATTCCCAGTGCATCCCAGGCAGTTCCAGGATCCCTGGCCTGGCCCTGCTC